AAAGAAAAGCTTGTAGTTAGTTCAAGGACTGTTTGTTGGCCTTTAGGAGTGTTTTCCAGTCTAGTCTGTTGGGACACCAAGCCCTGGCCCCAAAGTCCACCTTCAGCATTTCCTGGGGACCTCGCCACTCTGTTCGCTTGCTGTTCTGTTGCACCCCCTTAGTGTTTTGCCTCGGTGTGGTGGCATCAGATCGGGTGCAATTCCCACACTGTCTCCGGTGTTGTCCCCTGTAGGTCTTTGGGTCAGTGAGGGACATCATGTCTCATAATGGGGCCGGCCATATGGTCCTCTTTCTGTAGACTAGCTGCTCTGAGCGGAAACATCGTCCTCAAGGCCTGGTAGGCCAGGATGTCCTCCACTCTCTCCTCCTCCCCCTTCATCTGCTCCCGTGTGCTCCAATTAGATATGCCCCTCTCCCAGAGCTGCAGATTCAGTACCGTCCTCTGAAATAAATTCTTCTGGGGGGAGGGGCAGGTATCCATGTAGTTGGGATTGGGGCTGCCCCTCAGACCTCTCCAATGGTTCCCTACTCCACGCCGGCATGTTGCATTCACATCTTGGAGCACTGGGTTGAAGTCTAGTCCCTTTTTCCTTGTGGAGACATAAAACCTTGGTTGGGTTAGTCCCCTGTGCCCCCTCTACCCATTTCTTTTTTATTATTATTTTTTCCTTTCCCCACCTCCTTTTTAGTTGGATACCATATATATCCCTGGATTTCTAACCCTCATATTTTATGACTCTTTTCCCACCTAGTAAACTTCATCTATAGCCATAGTTGTACACTATGCAAAGCCTCCATTATTGGACACTGAGCTTGTTTCCCTGGTAATATCTCTTTTATCACCAAACAGTAGAACATATGCCTGGGTACAAATTGTTTTCTACCTAGGAATCTCTCTCACTGCCATTAAGTCAGTGCTGACTTATAGTGACCCCCTGTGGGTCTTTGAGACAGTAACTATTGACAGGAGTAGAACGCCCAGTCTTTCTCTCGCGGAGCTGCTCGTGGTTTTGAACTGCCAACCACGCGGCCCACAGCTTAACATGTAACCACTACTTCACCAGGGCTGCTCCTACCTAGGAATAGAATTGATCAAATTTCCTTATAGTCCTGTTTATAGATTAAGGGCCAGGTGTATGTGCCAGTTTTAAATGATTTGTGTTATTTATGCTGTTTGAGTTTCATACCCAAATTTCACAGGAGGAATTGCTCAGTGCATGCTTTTGTTTGTTAATTGTCTGATATCGACTCTTACTAAGTTTATTAATTTTCTTTTTTGCTGTATATAACTGAACCTAAATTCAAATATTTGTTAAGACCCTACCAGCCAGTATGTACTGGTAAATATTTCCATCTCCATTAACAATCTGAAGAAAATGGAGCTCAGAAAGTTGATGTGACTTGCCTTTCCTTATCTTCCCAGCCAGGACGTGACTAACAGAACTAACATGCCAGCACGGGTGTATTCACTTGTGGAGCCCAAGACTCTTTCTGCACCACTGCTAGGATCTTTCAGCCCTTGGCCATTTTCTCATTCATGTCCCCTAGTAGAAAAGCCCACGAAGATCCGCTATCCAGATCTGCCTTGCCATCTTACCCTACTTGAGAGGCTTGCTTTCTTTTCCTCCTTAGGTTTTGACCTGCAATTCAAGCATCTACCACCAGATGGAGGGGGTGTTCTGTTAAGGAAGACTAACAAAGACAAACATTTAAATGTTTACTGTTGACCAGGGGTTGGTAATTGGTTGTGCCTCAGTTCTCAATTTAGGGCAACCTGTTCTCAACCTGTGGATTACAACCCCTTTGGGGATCGAATGACCCTTTCACAGAGGTCGCCTAAAACCATCAGAAAACACGTATTTCCTATTGTCTTCGGAGCCAAGACACCGTTCCTCTTATCTGTCTCCAGGGGGGTCCGCCCACATGCAGATATGCCCACATAGGAGTACCCTGTGTGAAAACTGTTACTCATGCTACACCATGCTTCAAGACAAAATTTCTTTTATTTGTAATTAAAAATAAATATTTCACCGTATATAATGACATTTTTGTGAGGAATCACTATGCTTTAATTATGTTCAATTTATAACAATGAAAGTACATCCTGAATATCAGATATTTACATGACGATTCATAACAGTAGCAAAATGACAGTTATGAAATGGCAACGAAAATCATTTTATGGTTAGGGGTCGTCACAACATGAGGAACTGTTTTAAAAGGTCGCAGCATTAGGAAGGTTGAGAACCACTGATTTAGGGGATTACGTGTGTTAAATGATAATCTCTGCCTCTATTAGGGTCTGAATGTTCAAAACCATCTCGTTGACGTAGTAATTTTCCTGTTTTGTACTGTCTTTGGTCCCCAGATGATTTCTCACATTTCCAACCCTCCAGCAGAGCAAATTAAGTCTTCCTTTCCCTTTCTTTTTTTAATATGTTTCATTTTATATATTTGTTTGTTATTGAGAATTTTGTGAAAGTTTATAGATTAAATCAGTTTTCCATGCAACAGTTTGTGTGCATTTGGTTTCATGCCATGGATTGCAATCGCTATAAACAGCATCACTTCTCCCACTTCCTGCCTGTGGTTCCTCTTTGCATCCCTCCTTCCCTGACTCTTCTGGACTCCATTCTTGGGTACATGCCACCCTTTTATCTCATAGTCGATTGTTCTTAGATGAGTACACCTCCCTAGGGTGACTGTTCCATTGTTTTGTTTGCTCACTAAGGGTAAGTACAATTCCAGACCTTAAAGCTCACTGCCATCGAGTTCATGCAACTCATAGTGACCGTATAGGACAGGGTAGAACTGCCCCCTGTGAGTTTCCGAGACTGTAACTGTTTACAGGAGTAGAAAGCCCTGTCTTTCTTTCATGCAGCAGCTGCTGGTTTTGAACTACTGACCTTTTGGTTAGCAGCACAACATATAATCACTAGAACACCAGGGCTTCTCAAATGGTGGCTAGGGTTGTTTAATTTTATTATGGTAAAATAAACGGAACATAAAATGTGCCACTTTAACCATTTTCAAGTGTGTAGCCAGTATTATAATCATATTCACCATCACCGCTGTTTGCTTTCATAATATTTTCATCACCCCCAAACCGAAACTTAGTACCCCTTCAAACAGTTACTCCACCCATGAACTTTTGGATGTCCCCTCATTTGTTTGTACTCGGTGTGTTTTGTCCCTTTCTCTGTTGATAAACATTGGGTTGTTTCCACCTTGTGCCTATTGTGAATAGTGCTGCAGTGAACCTTGGTGTTATAAAAGTCTTTGTTGGAGTCCCTGCTTTGAATCCTTCTGAGCATAGGTCTCAGAGTAGAACTGCAGAGTCATAGAGTAGGTATATTTTTACATTTTTCAGGAACTATTCAATGGTTTTCCACAGCAACAGGGCATTTTCCTGAGCCATGGATAGATAGATGCCTGTTTTCTCCACATTCTCATCAGGACTGGCTATTATTCTCTATTTTTCTGGGAGTAGTCATCTTTATGGGTATGAAAAGATGGCACATCGGTGGAAGTTCTTCCTACCTCTCTCTCTCGATTCCATGCTCCTTGCATAAGTCAGCCAGGTTAATGTCTCAGAATTGGTTGACTTTTAAGGTGCCCAATTGTCTGGCCCTAACTTACCTCAAACACTGAAGCCAGAACTCAACAGAACTGTCTGGTTTTTCTGGGTTTTGCAAGTTTTCTGCCATTGGCAGAATGTAATCGTACCACTTTTCTGCCTTTTCTCTTCATGGGAAACATTTGAATTTACCTTCTCTGACAGGTTTCTTTCTCCCCCCCCCCCATCATTTTATTAGGGGCTTGTACAGCTCTTAGCACAATCCATCCATCCATCCATTGTGTCTGCACATTTGTATATACATGTTGCCATCATCATTTTTAAAACATTTTCTTTCTACTTAAGTCCTTGGTATCAGCTCCTCATTTTTCCCCTCCCTCCCCACCCTTCCTCCCTCACGAACCCTTGATAATTTATAATTTGTTATTATTTTTTCATGTCTTAAACTGACAGATGACAGGTTTCTAACTTAAACCATTTCTGACTTTACTGTCTGTTCAAAATACATACTGCTTTGCTTGATCTGCATATCCTGTTCATCTTTAAGACACAGTTCAAATAGTGTGAACTTCTTTATTTATTTATCAACAGGTATGTTTAGAGGGTCCTGTCATGTGTCAAGTACTGGTTTAGACTCCTAGGAGTCATCAAGGAGCAAGACAAAGACACTATTCTTTTTTTTAATCATTTTATTGGGGGCTCATACAACTCATCACAATCCATACATCCATCCATGTGTCAAGCACATTTGTACATTTGGTGCCATCATCATTCTCAAAACATTTGCATTGTACTTGAGCCCTTGGTATCAGCTCCTCATTTTTTCTCCTCCCTTCCCTCCGCCCCTCCCTCATGAACCCTTGATAATTTATAAATTTATTATTATTTTGTCATGCCTTATACTATCCTACATCTCCCTTCACCCACTTTTCTGTTGTCCGTCCCCCAGGAAGGGGGCTCTATGTAGATTCTTGTAATCGGTTCCCCCTTTCTACCCCACCTTCCCTCCACCCTCCTAGTATTGCCACTTTCACCACTGGTCCTGAATGGTTCATCTGTCCTGGATTCCCTGTGTTTCCAGTTCCTATCTGTACCAGTGTACATCCTCTGATCTAGCTGGACTTGTAAGGTAGAATTGGGATCATGATAGTGGGGATGAAGGAAGCATTTAAGAACTAGAGGAAAGTTGTGTGTTTCATCGTTGCTATACTGCACCCTGACTGGCAATGCCTATTTTCAGGGGAAAAAATTTCTCTGTGCCCCCTGGCAATTAAAACTTTTGGACTATGGCCTATAATCCAGGAGAGAGTTTGTTGTTAATTCCAACTCTTCACAGCCCTGTGAACAGCAGAACCAAACACTGCCTTGTCCTGTGCCCTCCTCACAATTGTTACATTTGCACTCCCTGTCAGAAAGCTTGGAAACCTTATATAGGTCACCATGAGTCTGAATCAACTCACAGGCAGTGGGTTTGGGGCTTTGGTAGACTATTTAGAATACAGTTTCTCACTTTGGTTTAGACCATCCATCGGGTAAAAATGTTAACTCTTTGTCCTAATTTTTTTTTCCAGAATCTTTGTTTCATTTTGCCACAGTTTTTATACCAGTTCTTCTGTGGATTCTCACAACAGGTTTGTTTCTTCATGAGTCATTTGTTATAATGTCTACATTTGCTGTTCATATCTTACTTATTAGATTGTAGATCCTTTTTTATTAGATTGTAGAGCAGTATGCCTGGCTTTTGACAATGGGAAATCCTTGTCCTTGCTTTAGAACTGTTCTAATGTAACTTCCTTTTTGAAAGTTATTTGGTCCAATTTGTCTTACTGGGATGACCATAAAGGGAGTATTTTTATGTTTTCTCTTTTTTATGGATGTATAGAATGGGTTCATAATCTTAAAATGTCATAGCTTAACATTTCACTAAACAAAATCCCTTCCAATTTCTGAACTTCATTCTGCAGAGTGGTGATTCCTAGATAGCCTTGGACTACGTGACACAACTAAATTATTGGTCGTCTATTACTTTCAAACTTATTATATGCAAATATGCTGTAGGTTGACTTGATCGCCTGAGTGGTAGCATGAACAGGTACATTACATCAGAACCAAGTTGATGGCACCTAACAGCAACAGTAACCATTGTTCCTAAAGATATTTCCATATTATATGGTCACATTCACTGGCTTCTCTTGCCTTTTGGATACTCAGCTTGTACTTTTTATCAGGTGGTTTTTAGTGTGCAGCAATTAAATAATAAGCCTCTTAAGAAAACGGAGTTCGTTCATTTATTTAGTTAGTTAGTTGGAATAGGCCATAAAACTCTGGGTGATTTTTCAAAGCTGAATTATAATATCACCACAGGTATTAGCGACTGAGTCACTAAAATTCAAAATCTAGTTTTATCTCATGATTTCACAAGGTAGGAGGTTCCCCCTCCCAATCTGTTAGCAACACTTTTAAGAGAATTTGTTCTTCTCACTGAGAAGTGGTTGCAATTTCCCTTAAAATTTGCTGTGCAGTCTCTTGACATCACTGCCATGTCATCAGCCCCAGGGTGCCAGTTAAGCTGATTATGGGATGAACTAATCATCTACCAGCTGAATACAATGCCACTAGCCTTCTTATATTCAAATTTAATGCTACCAGCTACAGAGACTTGTAAAAATTCTAGTGAATCTGAATTTTTAACTTGCAAAATGCTGTTGATGAATATATTGCCAATTCCTCACTTTATTGGATGAATGCAAGCATCAAAAGGTCAAATTTTCATAACTTGGTTGATTTATAGCAAAGTAATAAAAGAGAGGTTGGCTTGATTGCATTGAAATTTATTTTGTTTCCCAAGGAATCAGTTGCATTTGTTAACCTTTTAAAGGGTCCTTGTGCCTGCTTACCGAGCACATGTTGGTCTGAGGAAAGAAAGGACTTGTCTATATAAAGCCAGCTGAGATTCAAGGTTGATTTCGCTGAGAATGGGGCATGTGAGTAGAGATTTGGAGAAAGTGAGGGAGTAAACCATGAAACCAGTTAAAAGAAAGATGGTTTGGCACAAGTGACTGATGACAGGAGCATAGGCCTGACGTGGTTCCTGTCCAGTGAGCACGACCTTGTGACTGGTGTGCAATGAGTGAGGAGAGTGGTTAGAGTTGAGATAAGACGGGCACTGAGAAACCAGGCAGAGTGGGCCTGATAGTCACCCCACTGTGGGAACTTTTTTTTTTTTTACTTTGAGAGTAATGAGAATGCCTTTTGACAGTTTGAATAGTGACACAATATGACTTCTATTTTAACAGGACAGCTTGGCAGCTGTGTTGGAAATTGTGGTAGTCTGGGTCGACTAGAGAAACAAATCCAGAGACACCGGAGATTATGTAACTGCCACAAAAATGGATGAGGGTGGAAGCAGGGAGCCCTGCTCCTGTCCTGGAGGAGGCAGGCAGGGTGGGGTCAGTGGGGTTTCTGAGGAAGGAGCCAGTTTTGACAAGATGCTACAGAGCAAATAAAGGCTTTCTCATCGATTAGATGCACGGTGTGAAAGAGAGAAGAGTCAATGATGATTCCAGATGTGGGTCCTAAGTGGTCCAGAAGATTTCATTGCTAATTCCCAAGATGGAGAAGGAAGACTTTTAAGAGCAGCAAGTGTGGGTGGGAGCAGGTCTAGAGTTCTGCTTTTGACATGTTATGTTTGACATTTGTTTCATGACTCGGGTAAGTCGGAGTCCATTGGCTTTTGGATGTATGGGTTTAGGATAAGTTCAGGACAGATCTGGCTGGTAGTCAGGACTTGAAGATTGTCAGTGAATGAGGAGTACACGCTGAATAGAAAGGAGGGTGTGTTCATGGGATTCATCACACTGTGTTCATTTCGTTTCTATCATTACCAGGTAGCATGACTTCATTCAGAGTTTCATTGGCGGTCACAAAAAGCATGAAAGGAATGTTCTCACTTTAGCTCGAATTTTCCCTACGCAGAAATGTCTTCTCACAGAAGATTGTTACCTACATCTTTTTCCTTTCTTCTGTTGTTTGTCATCTCAGCCACTCTATGATGCTGCTTACCTTACCATGTACAATATCTGCTTCACCTCCTTACCCATCCTGGCCTACAGTCTCCTGGAACAGCACATCAACATCGACACGTTAACATCAGATCCCCGATTGTATATGTAAGTAGACAATAGCGTCAAACTGCCCTTCCACTTGCGAAGTTGGGGGTTTCTTTTCAGTTTTAGGTGGTAGAGATACAAAACTCCAGTCCCTAATTTTTAGCTTCGGGAACCAAACCATCCAGCAGGAAAACAACATAGCTGTGGGTGCTGTATCCAAATGCACGTGAAACATATAGTTTAAAATCATTCATTCCTGAGGTTTGAAACTACATTGGCATACTATCCAGATGGTCTTGAAGAATTGCTACAGTATTGTAACTGTAAAAGGCCAAAGTTCTTTAGTAGTTTAGATTATGGGCTCCTACCTATAAGGGCATTGCATTGGGTGAATCTGCTGCCTAAGACCTCTTGAGAGTGTTGAAAAGCAAAGATGCCACTCTGAGGACTAAGGTGGGCCTGACTTAAGCCATGGCATTTTTTGTCACCTTGTATGCATGGGAAAATTGGACCTTGAATAAGGAAGATGGAAGAAGAATTGATGCATGTGAATGATGGTGCTGGAGAGGAGTATTTGAAAGTACTTCTCATTACCAAAAGGACAAACCAGTCTGTCTTGGAAGAAGCAAGGCCAGAGTGCTCCTTAAAGGCAAGAAGGGAAAGATTTCATGTCCCGTAGCTGGACATGTTGTCAGGAGAGACCAGTCCCTAGAGAAGGACATCATGCTTGGTAAAGAGAAGGGGCAGTGACAAAGAGGAGAAGGCCATCAACGAGATGGATTGACACCGTAGCTTCCACAATGGGCTCAGGCATAGGAACAATTGTGAGGATGGTGCATGTTGTTCATAGGGTCGCCGGGTCAGAACCAACTCGATGGCACCTAACAACAACAACAATCTGTGAGGAGGAGAATCCGTAAGGGGTGCCATCCTCCTTTTGTGAACTGCCCAAAAGCAGAGTTCTTTGTTGGCCCCATTGAAAAGCACTGTCGCTGAAGAGAAGACTTAATTTTTCAAGATAGGGGAATGTACATTGTGATCATTTGGTGTTGATTGAAAATGGGTGCTTTTCTTTATGGATAGTGGAACTGAGCATGCAGCCCCAGTTGCCTAATCAAATTTCATTTGATTATGAATAAATTAAAGAACACAGCTAAGGACGAAGGTGTCCATCTACAGCAGATGACAAGCACTGCTAAATACTGGATAACAAGTGTACTTGAGAGGCAAGGGCAACTTGTTTGTATGAAACAAAAGTGTACCGGTTTGCAAGACTTAAGGATCTGTTAGAGTTATCAAGATTGGTAACATTTGTAAGCTTTTTATTGTAGAGAAGTTCAAGCACATACAGAAATAGAGGGGGCATCATTAATTGTTAAAAAAATAAACGCCCCTTGCGTTGCCGGAAACTCCATGTACTGCTGGGTGCAAATCATCACCTCCAAGAAAGAAGAGGCCGAGGTGGGCGAATCCCAATGTTGCAGCATGGAAAAGGGAGGGCCCGGGCTGATCCTCTGGGAATGCTCAAGGTCTGGTTTGGGAGAGCTGGTTTTATAGAGTTTACAACAAAGACACTGTGTTTATTTTATCAGCAACGATGCAGTCATGGTTCCCTATCATTTTGGAAAAAAATCGCTGCTGAGCCCTGCCCCAAGGTGGGGCAATGAATGTATGAGGCACTTGGAGAACTAGAAGGTTTGTTCCAGAAGGCGGGTCAGCAAACAGTAGCTAGGACCCTAATCTAACGCTGTGGGGGCGTCAGAGGAACCTGAGGACTTCTGATTTCCCTGTGCTCACCACTCCGCCTCCACCATGAGCAGGGCAGGGCAGGACTGGTCTTAGGACGTGCATGCCCTCCTCTGCTTAGGTCGAGACAATTCTCAAATATTTTATAAAATACTTATCAAACACAAGGTGAGGACTTAAAGATATGACAGTTCTCTCTCTACCGACAGACTAAATATTTTATATCATCAAGCAACTAAGCAAGGCTTACATGTTCCCAAATGTTTTTCTTTTCTTCTCTACAGTCTGTTTGATTCAGGATCCAAATAAGAACTATATATTGCAATTGGTTGTTATGCTTTTGAAAGATCAAATTGGGAGGCTCTTGTATTTGTTAGTGGGAGTGACAATCCCACTTATCTCCTATGGGTTTGACATCGCTGAAAATAGAGAATGCCGACCAAACTCCGAGGCCAGTTCCAGGCCAAAGCCCAGGGAAGCAGTTGGCAACAACTCTAGTTTTGCGGTCGGTGGCCTGAATTGTAACTTAGCAGCTCTTTGCCCATTCCCCAGCTCCAGTGCGTGAGTCGGGTGTTTCCACGGAGATGAATCTGTGACACAGCTCTCTGCACACACTTGACTTTAACATTTCATCTTTGGTGTAGCCGGTGGAGAGTCGTTCATCGGTGTTGTTTTTATTTCCCATCTCTCAATAGGAAAATTACTGGCAATGCCATGCTGCAGTTGGGCCCCTTCTTATATTGGACACTTCTGGCTGCCTTTGAAGGGACTGTGTTCTTCTTTGGGACTTATTTTCTTTTTCAGACTTCATCCCTTGAAGACGATGGAAAGGTAAAGAGAGCTCATCACTACATCTTACATGTTCAATAGCCTGAGCAGGACATTTTCCCTCTGTAGGCACGGGCTTGGCCACACATATATGAACAGCAGCGGTTGTCACTTTGCAAATGATGCGGTGTTGCATTTTCCCTACTTCTTTAGCACGATAGGCATGGGGAAATAAGAAGTAACTTCCCCAGGGCAGATGGCTCACTAGAGCACATATAGACCAAGCTGGAGGAAGCTGACCCTGACTGTCATTTTGACCTGAATCATTTTGCTTCAAACTCAGCAAAACTCTTCTGACACCCACGTCTGGCCCCACTCAGTCCAAATTCATTGTATTCCTCCCTGCTCAGAGTTGAAAGTGGTAGCTGCCACGTGTTTGGAGTGTTCCCCTAATACCTGAAGAGAAGAAATTCTCTTCTCACCCCCTTTCCTTCCATCTGGGAACAGAATCCCTTCAGAAAAGCTGTGCCCCTTAGACCAGTACCTTCCCAGCAGGCAGCCCCACCCGCACACACCTGCACCACGGTGATTCTGCCCTTGCTCTTTGCTGAGAAGGGAGCCCCAGGAGCCCAGTGGTTAAAGTGCTTGCCTTGGTAACTGAAAGGTCAGCAGTTCGAACCCACCAGCAGCTCCCCAGGAGAAAGATATGGCACCCTGCTTCTGTAAAGAGTACAGCCCTGGAACCTTTACGGGGCAGTTCCACTCACTGATGGGCGACAGGCGAGGCCTCCTCCCTCCGCCACATGGTGGGAAGTCAAACATACCGCTTGCATGTTGCTTTTCCTGTGCTCGTGTTGGCCGTTTCTGGGATGATTCTTCTATGGGCATTCATTTTTCCTCATCATAGCGTGAGGCAAAGCTAATGCTCAGAAATAATTTACTGAGTACAGTGGCTATACATGGAACCTAGACAGTAAACATTTCTTTCAGAAGTGAATTTAAATGACACTCTGAAATTGGGAACTACAGTCAAAGCCGCTCAAATTGCGAGAAAAAAGGAATCTGTTTAATGGCTCTCCGTGAAAATACCTCACCAAAGTGGAAACAGAATTGATCTTTTGTGACAAATGCTGTGGCACTGCACCTTTCCAGCGCACCACTTCCCGGTTCGTAAGGAGATGCCATGTCAGTTTTATGACTGTTCTTGTGATGGTCCCTTTTTTTAACTATATATATTTTTTAATTTAGCAACTGCATCTAGCTGGCCCCTGCTTGGAAAACCTTTGCTCCCAAGTAGACAGCAACTCTGTGCAGCCCTGTTGCCCAGCACATCCTTCAGGTGGTGTATGGGGAGTCTCAACCCAGCCTCTGCCCTGATCCCACCCGTTTTGAGTTCAGCAACTCCAAATTCATAAGGTTTTACTGTACACCTCACTATCCTTCTACATGTTTGTGAAAATTCCAGTAAATGTAACAACTGCTACCAGCAATTAAGCATAACACCCAAGTATGATTTGATCAAATCCATTTTTTGAAATTTTGCTTCTATTAACCTTAAGTTCTGTTTGTTTTGGTTTTTTTTAAAAAAAACTTTCACATTTCATTTTCTGTTTTGATGTTATGCATTCCAATCTTGACAGCGTTTGGTAAGCATATGTGCCAATCATCGCCATCATTTGCATTTGTACCTGGTATCTGCTTTGCATTGATGTGTACACGCTGACACCTCAAATTGAACCAGTCCCCGCTCCATCCTCACTCCCTGCCAAATTTGACTGGCGTTTTATAACAGAGTCCATTTCTCTGAAATGTTTCTATATTTGAAAACTGTAGTGCTTTATTATAGGGAAAGCCCATGAGACATGAGAGACTGACTTGCTGTTAGTGGACTCGTATTTCCCTGCCTTTGTCATACCTGTGAGTTCCTTGTTTGATGGGAGATGCTCTGTGATGACTTAGAGTCACAGTAAGATCCAGTAACAGTGTGGTCTAGTCTTCGTAAACATATATGTCCCTAAGCAAGTCATAGAAAAGCCATTTGGCACTGACAGGCAGAATTAAAACTGCCCTTTGATTTGTAAAGGAGGTTTATGTATTCGTGGTACATGTAATTGCTAAATGTCTTTCAGGTTTATGGAAACTGGACTTTTGGAACCATGGTCTTTACAGTCTTAGTCTTCACTGTAACTCTGAAGGTTAGATTTTTGCTAATATATTAATACCATTTTTGTAATATTATTTCTATTCAAATATGCTCCTTTTATCGCCTACTCTTTATTTTTAGTGCAAGCTGTTAATGAGACTTACTAAAATCCTTTTGCCTCGAGGGATTTGGGCATTAAAATATGATTTCTGATCCTTTTGATTTCAGTATATTACCTATCCTCCCTTTTGCATTACTTAAAAATATATATATGTAACAAAGAGGTAGTGCTGAAACCCTGGTGGGGACTGAGCATGATAGTAGGACAGGAGGAAAATCAAGGGAAATAGAGGAAAGAGCTGGGAGGCAAAGGACATTTATAGAGGTCTAGATAAAGACATGTACATATGCAAATATATCTGAGGATGGGGAAATAGATCTATGTGCCTATATTTATAGGTTTAGTATTAAGGTAACAGAAGGACATTGGGCCTCCGCTCAAGTACTCCCTCAATGCAAGAAAAATTGAGATAAAAGTAGTAGTTACCTCTCTTAAGAATTTCATGAGGAATTAGTGAGTACAAATAAAGCACTTAGAAGAGTGTTTGACACCAAGACCAGGCCCATTATAGTTCATCCTACATGCTATTTATTATGTTTCCGGGGATCCTAGTGATTTGAGGGGAAATCCCTCTGTATGTGTCAGCCCCCCGTCTTTGCTTATGATCCCAGGGCTAGAAGTGACCTTGCTAAAGCAGCTTCGCTTGGACCTCAAAGGACATCTGTCTCTTTTTGCATGAATATTACTGTAGCATTTTCCTTCCCAGCCAAATGGGAATTCAGGGCTGAGCTGCATGAACCATATTATCAGCATTCTGTTTAGGATGGAAGAAACTGTAACAGAGCTGAGGACCATGGTGTTGCCACAAGTAACAAAGCAGGGACACCTCCTCCGGCAAGACGGAATCGCACCGGATGAAATGCCCAGGCGACCCAGGAGTTTCAAGCAAGCACAGCAGACCGTGCTTTTGTTTTTCAAGCACATAAGATAGCCCGAGCCTCCAGCGTGAAAGCCAACAACAGGACCCAATTAGTCTTGGCAAAACGTAACAGGATTGAAATTCAGGGCACAAACATTTGATCCATTTAATGGGCCAGATAAGGGTTCTGCAATTGGGAAGGCACACTCTATAGACAGCCCATGATCTACTGCGCGAGGACTGCTATCTGTTGTGTTTGAACTATTAGGACTCTTTATGCAGGTTTTCAACCCTTCCTAGCTATCCCGTTCCTTTTCATGTGCCTGCCTCTGCTGGCTAGGCACTCTCCATGCCATCATCTCTCCAGCTGAGAATGCCAGCCTCTGGGATATTGCCCTTCTCTTGTTCCTTGCCCTCCCTCATAGAAGCATCTGCAGCCCCACACCTCCTAACCATGCTTTTAAAGAAATGTTTAATCATGAAACATTTTAATCAGGCAATGAAAATCACTGAACCGTTGTTAATCTTTAGAGAACCAGATGACAATTGTGAACCAACTCATTTTTCTCCGGAAACTTGTTATTTTTATACATGTTTACCTCCCCCTCCCCAACCATTTTATTAGGAGCTAATCCAGATATCATATCCTTCCGTAGTTCAGTCACATCGTGCAGTATTGTACAGTTGCTACCCACCATCAGTTTCCAAACATGGTCCCACACCTCCGGCACTGTGCCTTAGAATCCAAAGGCCACAGGGCTGTGTCTCCACCTTTGTCAGTGGCAGTCTAGTCAGTTCCTACTCCTGGCCACTGGGTGGGTTTGAACCACCAACCATCCAGCTTCTCTAGTGCTTCACTCTCGGTACCACCCAGAGGCCTTCTTTCCCATCGCAGCTCTCTTCTACCCTTAGTCCCTTCTCTGCATCCATGGCGCAAACTCTTGTCACCCCGTAGGCAACATGCTGCATGGATGATTTTCAGATAACATAATGTAATGTGTACCCATCGTGAATGCTCTTGTTTTGTATCTTTGCAGCTTGCCTTGGATACTCGGTTCTGGACGTGGATAAATCACTTTGTGATTTGGGGTTCCTTAGCCTTTTATGTATTTTTCTCATTCTTCTGGGGAGGAATTATTTGGTGAGTAGCTGTGCATGTGTAATGAATGTCCTATTACCCACTCTAGATAGGCAGACAACCAAATATGGACTATACTTTTAATGTCTCAATTATACGAGAGGGCAATTCTTTAATATTATTGAACCAGAGTTATTTCTAGCCAGTGACATTGCTCATTTTAGAGAAGTTTTGAAATATGAGCATATAGGCTACAGCAATTATTCACAGGGCCCATGTCTTTCCACTTGAAGGTACGTAATCACCCCTCTCAGCCTATGAACTTTCTACATAATAATTCACCTACAGAGAATTATCCATGTGGATCCTCTTTTCTGTGGGATGTAATTGTCATTCATGCCAGTCCTCGAGTATAGGCCATGCACCCTTTACTACGTAGGAGGTTATCCCTTAAAACACTTCTTGGGACTTTTGAGGGCAAAGGCAGGTTCTGTAGCCTCTCTTGAAAAGGATGGCAGCAGCAGGGAAGCATGACTAGAGCAAGCCAAAGAGGGACACTCCAAGATCCCGTGGCTTCTCTGTGGTTTGAACAAAGTCATATCATACATATAAACCATTTCGTCACCGAGATGTGTCTGTGTTCTGGAGCCAGCATGAGAAGAAGCACTCACTATTTTCAAAGAGCTTTTGTTTTCACTTGAGGATGTACCAGCTCTGAAAAGCGTAATTGCAGCATATGCGTTATTGGTACCTTTAGAGGTAATGATTGAGGGCAAACTAGCTGAACAGAGTTCCTATTTTAATAATATACCAGTGAATTAAAGTTGATTAACTGTAATTTGCAGTTGTAGGTCTTCCTAGAGTACTGTAAACTCTGTGTGTGAATCCAGGTAATCAGCATCTGAATTAATCAGGCAAAATTTCCACAAAACTTGACTGTTCCTAGGAAACTACAGCAGCTCTCTAGATCTTTCTTGAGCTGTCTTAATGTTCTCTAGTTTGCCGCTCTGGGTTTTACTATCCATTGTAATGGCTACACAGAACTCACCTACAAATTGCATGATTCCAGGGTTTATTAAAGAAGTCAACAAGTTGTATTGCCAGTGAGCAATAACTCAGGGTTGATTTACCAGGACATATTATGAAGTTCTGTCAAGTCTGCTAATAAATGCTTAAAGGGACATAACACTTTACTATAAGGCTCAACCCAGAAGCATTCAGATTAATCTCCCTGAATTAAGCACCCAGAGGCACCTTCAGTCCAAAGGTACTCAGCTCCACTTGCCTGGGACAGCAAGTCCAACTTCCACAATTCAGTGCCCAGAGGCCCCCCACTCCGGAACCAAGCCTCCTGCACAAGAGCACCCAGCTTTACTTGCTCCATGGGTTGGGAAGTCCGTCACTCCATCCCGTGCACTGGCTCCTGGTTCTCCTGCTGCTCCTCTGGTGGAATAGCTGCCACCTAGATCCAGGAGGTTCACTCTGAAGTGATCTTGGGTCGAGAGTACACACTCCACTCTTGGCTCTTGCTGGTAATGAGATCTCACCTCCTGCTTCTCAAGAGAGCTCAGGTAATCCTGTTCAAAATTCACAGGTGAATCCTGTCAGTATCTTCCCCCCACCGAACCAGACCCAAGGCAGGAATAGGTATTTTGGTGGGAGTTGGAGATTTGGGCTGTAAGAGCCACATTCAATAGTTCCCTGCCCCTCCGCTTTGTACAGACTCTTCCTTATTGAGTAAAGCAAAGCCTATAAGTGATTTGGATTGTCCTGCCTGAGGGTCATAGCTGCTTTTATCCATAAGGGTACTTATTAAAAAGGAAAAATTGATAGCAAATCAGCTTTTTAGGTTTTGTTGCCTTCATGTCTGTCCTTGTGTAGAGCCAACTGAGTTGAGCTATTATTGAATATGAACTTGATTAGTACAAAGCAACCAGTCAAATGTGACTAGAAAAGATGGGCAAGTTCAGCTGAATGCTTGTTCACCAGGGCATGTTCTACCCAGCAACAACTTCTCAGGTGGGCAATTGAGAGTGGTGATTTCTGAGTACAAAACACAGCCCAGGAATAATAACTTGTGTTGTTTACTGTTCCCCTGAAATGTTCCATAGATGTCATTTAGGAAAAAAAAAACTATCTGTGTGCACACGCGCGCGCGCGCACACACACACACAGAGAGAGAGACAGAGAGATGTGGAGACTAATCAAATCAAAGAGTATTGTGGGTACCAAAGACTTTGGAACTAGCTGTCACGTTTCTACTAGACCCTTGTTATGACTCAGTTAACTGCGTAAAAAATTAGGGTCCTTTTAAGAGCTAGTCTAATGCTAAGGTTCTGCAGGTGTTTTTTAGCCCAGACCTCTAAGTGTGTCCAGTGAACATTAATTTATGACTGAGAAGCCAGTTTATCTTCAGTGAACACAGGTGAGGCCTGTGTCATAGGCGAAGGCAATCTGTGAGGTCTGAGGTGCATCTGTCCCTCTACTAACCACTTCCACTTCGGCCACCTTAACGTTAGCCGGAGACGTTGGCTGAGTTTCTCAATAGCCTTCACTGGATGACTTGGAATGAGATCTGCCATTGAAGGAAACATCCTCCTTGATTTGGGAGAGACAAGGCTTAATGTCCAATTACCAATATTCTGCACATGCGAGAACCCAATATATATTTGTGGACGGGAATGCTAGATTCCTACCATGTGAGGGAGGATAAACTCTACAGTTATTTCTATATTTACATACATTTGGGGGAGGTATTAAAATGTGTGTGAAGTTTCTGAATATAGAGCACAAAACCATCCTCATATTAATAAAACAGCTGGGGAAGTAAAATGCTTATTAGCATAGAAATTAACCATCATTTCTCTTGACTCTCTTTGAGGCTGAGCACTTTGATGCAAATAAACATTCTCCAGTTGGCGCCTCTAGAGTTGATTGCCTGATTGTTTTCTAGTCATATGCATTTTATGATCTTTTGGTTTCCCTTTGATTAGCATTCCTTTTCTTTCCAAACATTTGGTAAATGAAATTTGTCTACTACATTAGGGACGGTCTAGAGAAAATTATTTTTATTAACGTACATAATCAAGATTCTGGTTAAATACAAAGGACAGTTTCAATTACATTTCTGTTTCATATGATGGAAAGTGATTGGTTTTCTATTATCTATTTTCTTCACACTCCAGGCCTTTTCTCAAGCAGCAGAGAATGTACTTTGTATTTGCTCAAATGCTGTCTTCTGTGTCCACGTGGTTGGCCATAGTTTTTCTAATATTTATCAGCCTTTTCCCTGAGATTCTCCTGATGGTATTAAGGAATGTAAGAAGAAGAGGTGCCAAGGTAAGAACGGAGCTTGTAGTATCATCTGATTTTTTGAAGTGGCTTCGGTATCTGCCGTGAACTGAAAGCTTTATCTACAGAGCTGTGTCAGTTACAGAATATTAAACCCCTCCTTGCAGGTTCACCACTTAATTTCCACTTCTGCATAAAAAGTATAGTAAAAACTTCGTTATCCAATGCAGGTGGTAAGTAGATTCTGTCACAGTGTTCTGTGTGACCATTAGTGATCCATATGAAGTATCTCTTATGCTCCATATGGAAATTTCAAAGAAAAAAATCGTTTTCATTTTATTTTTAATTTAGCCTAGAATTTCCACACCAGGAATTTCCACACCAACATTTCAGCTTTAACCTCAGAAATACCCTTGCGGGTTGTTTGCAACTCCACCACCCCACCCCTCTCTGTCGATAATCCCAATTTCTTTCAAAAGTCTTCCCTCCTTTAATTATAGTGCTGCTTAATCTCTGTGTTGCTTCTAGCCCTGTGTGTCCAGCAATATTATTTGAACCAGAGAGTTCCCTGGATGTCATTTCTACATCCTTTCCCTCCTGAACATACTTGTTTTTAAGAACTAAATAGTAATTGGGGTTCTTTTTGTGTGCCCAGTGTTTGTTTTGCTGCTTAAATCATAAGTTTCTTGTGGCTGTGAGAAATTACTCTCCTCCCGCAGCCCTCCCTGTTCTTGGCCCTGCCTTCTCCGATACGTTCTGAACATTTCTAAAAAGCCTTTAGAGTCAAAGCGGTAGATTAACCGGGAAAATAAAAGCATCTGACAGAGTTTGACCCACAAGTCCATGAAATCTATTCCTACCCGAACCAGCTCCTTTTGCCAGACAAAACCCTGCTTCTGTCATAGTCCTACCGACGAGATCCTGTGTCCCTTCCTAGGCACCATTTTTCAGAAATCATTTGAGCTCTGTCTACCTTACCGCTTTATGGTACATTTGTGGTCCATCCAATGTATGGACCAAGTTAGTCACCAAACTGGGTTGCCTGGCTTTGTTGGTGGTGTTTTGTTTTGTTTCCATTTTGAATTGTTAGAAGCCCATGAATGATGTCCTGCAGTCATGTGAACCTAAAATGAGTATAATGGGAAAGCATTTAATGGTTGGATGTGTAAAATCTTTACCTTACATGTCAGTCCCAGTCAAAAGCAATAGAATTGTTGGTGGCCAACCCATGAATAGTAAGAGCATTGGAATTGTCCACACCGCCCTGCCTCCTGCATGCCTTCTGGGAATGGAACAGGACTAAACATCCCTCACCTGGCTATCAAAGCCAAACATACAAAACCTGGCCTTAGTCTTGGCCTGAATCCTTCTGGTAAACCTCACTTTAACCTACCTCCAGCTTGGCCAGCCTTTAATCTCAAATTGGCATTCAATGCCTGATTCGACCTTATTAACAGTTGAATGAAGAAATCCAAGCTGATTGGACAGGTTCCCCTCAGAATAACTCAAGTAGCAATTTGAATGAAAACAGCCAAGGTAGGTGGAGAACTAGCTGGTGCTTTTGTATATTAATTGGGCTGGGGGAAGGTCTCCTAATTCCTCTCCCATTCTTAATAGGGGGTTTTCTTACTTGAGGGTAATAGAGCTCATCATACTCAGATGGGTCACACTCAGCTTCATGCTCTAAAGATGATAACAAAAATGTGATAATCCTGAACCTCCAAGCATGACATTGTTTTCAAAACATAGTCACTGGCTGGAGGCAACTTTTGTATGGGAGGATGCTACATGGCAACCTCAGTGGAACCCTCCGAACATGTCCCCCTCCGTGCAAACAGCCATGGGCTGCCAGTGAAAGCATGGAGGTCTAGAGTGGCAGCTCATTTTAGTTAGCTGCGGCAAATTGTGCCAGAGGTTCCGCATGACGTTCGCGTGCTGTGGGTGATGTCTGTGGTAGGAGGAATTGCAGTGTCTGGGCTGCAGCTTGGCATGCTGATGTCCCAGAACACCAGGAGACTTTTTCATGGTCACCATCATTCATTGAATCATTCATTCATTAACTCCTACCTCCGTGGAACCCGTAAATGTTTACTGAACCACCTACTGATGAACATCTCTCTTTACATCCGATGTCTGAAAGGCCAAATGGTTTTTTCAGATGCTGTGGGATTCTGAGAGTTAGAGATGAGTAAGAAAACATTGCAGGCACTCAACCACTCAGCCTCCTTTGCCCTCCCACCACCACTGTGAGAAAATGCAAAGGTGTTGTAGGTCCTGGTAATGCATAAAGGCCACATGAAACACAGCAGCCATGACTCTTCTGTTGTTGAATCTGTTACATGAGGGGAGCTTCAAAACGCTTGTGGAAAAATGGAATGAAAAGATAATGGATTTTTCCCATGACTTCTTTGAAGGTCCCCTCATCTAAGACATTATTTGGCCACATCCAAGAGACAAAGGCCAACCCTAAGAAAAAGGAAAAAGAGTATCTTCTAAAAAACAAACTTAACGGCAGTGGTGCTGATTCTTACCTTTAGGCCAGCATTGCCCTTGGGGTTTCCAAGGCTGTAAATCTTTATGAGAGCAGAAAGTCTCATCTTTTTCCAGAGGAGCAGCTAGTAGGTTCAAACTGCTGACCTTGTGTTAGCAGCCCAATGTGTAAGCCGCTATGGCACCAGAGCTCCAAGAGTATCTTACTTTCCCCAAACGGACTTGCCTTGATGCTCAGTGACCAGCAGCCTCACATCCTGGGTGACTTCCTGCACTGTTCAGTACCATTTGCTAAGGCATTGGTCTCACTGGACCCGCCTCACCTCATAGTTGGTAGGCTCGCTAATGGGGGACAGTCTAGGTTCCTAACTACACGTGGCTCCCTGACTTCAGCTTTTGGAACCAGTCTACACACAGCCAGCAATGCATTTTCAGATAGGCCACAGCGCTGTCCCAGCTGCTTTGAGAAAGGAATGGAGTTGTTGCCTTTAGCTCTTATAGACAGTGGATTCCCACTCCATTTAGTGCACAACGTATGAGGGTCTACTATGAGCTCCTGTATTAATCCAATTGGCCCTGAGCTCATTCCAACTCATGGTAACCCCCCGGGTGTGTCAAACTAAAACTGTGCTCCGGAAGGGTTTCTGGTGACTGATTTATTGGAAGTGGATCACCATGCCTTTCTTCTGAGGTGTCTCTGGGTAGACTCTAACCTACAACCTTTCAGTGAGCAGCCAAGCATCCTGGGTTGGCACCATCCAGGAAGTCCCGAGCTTTTGTACTGGGTTTTGGTGATTGAGGGCTGAGACAGGCATGGGCCCTGCTCATAAGGAGCTTTTACTCTGGGTATGTTGGAAAGGTGATTCCTATGGAGCCCTTTTCTGTAAGCAGGTATAAAGCCAAACAGTAGACCCAAGGATAGCATGGCTAACTTCAAAAAGAGGTTCCCTCAGTCACTGAACTCAAGGCTTGTAGTTAAGCCATGTACTCCTTAGCTGTGTTTTCTGCAGTGAAGTTGATTTTTGTGCTAGGCTCCCATTGCGTAAAATCATTGAGCTTACCTTTAGCCAAGCTGCCGGCAGGGGGTGTTGAAGCTTTCATAAAGCATGGCCCCAGTGGGCCCAGAGGACAGCACTTGAAAGGCAGCTTTCCCAAATGTAGGCCCCTTGGATGCAATGGTGACACTTGGACCTTCCAGCTAGGTACGGACCACTTCACACGTCCACAGTAATCTTGTGTGAAATGCCACAGTCAGCGAAGCCTGACTTTGCCTGCTAACTGGAGATCACCGTAACCAGAGGGCCCCAGCCACATGGAGTGCCTCACATGGGACAGGGAGCCAGGGGGAAACCTGTGCAGAGGGACTTACTGCTGTAAGTGTACCAAGGGACAGAGGAAGACTGTTGGCCATCCGAGCAAAATTCCCCCCCAAAACAGTGAAATTTAAAAAAAACACAGTTTATCATTCTAATGGCGATAATGATGATTTTGATTGTGCTTCTTACAGTGTCACAAACAGTCTTGGTTCTGTAAACCTGATTGGTATAAAAAAAAAAAAAGTCAATCCTATTGGCAGGGCTGTTGGCATGGGCTTCTATTCATTGGCCTCTTGACAGGATGCGACTTGGGCCGGCCGCTGTCAGAGCTCCAGGAGACCGCAGAGGCATGCGGACATTCGTGCTGTTGTGGCTCGTCACCCTCCCATCTCCCCAGCAGCCCAGCAATGTTGGTAGTGCTGATCCTTCTCATTCTAGAGTCTCCTTCCATGCTTTCTCCTGCCTTCTGCACTTTTCTGTTTTTCCTTTATAAAGTAGTCTTCACGCCTGACCTACTAACCCAGAGCATTTTCGTCTCATAGACCTACTTTTATCTCGAAAGATCGGATACAAGTTTCTGAGCGCACCAAAATGTGCTCACAACTGCAAGTTTTTATAGATAGACTTGTACACTAGCACAACCAAGTGGGGGGCTTGCTATCAGGTTCTTATTACAAGTTTTTTGCCCACAAACTAGAAGAAAGAAATAATTTTAAATTTCTTTCTTAGAAACTAGCTTTGAAATTCTCTAGCTTCTCAATAATTTGCATGTTGCCAATGTGTCGCCAGCATTCTTACTTTAAGATAGCATATGAACTGGAAATAAAAATGAAGATACGTAAAACATGCATGAGTAAAAGCAAAGGATGTCCCTTTTGAAGTATAATTGTAGATTCTGCTGGATGCGTAGGTTACTTTAACTTGATTTTTAAAACATATTCTGTTTTGCTTTGGGCAATGCCGAAACCACGTCTTTATGATAAAATAGTTCCTAGTTTTAGGCACAGGATAAGAAGGAAGCAAATAAGCTCTTAGGTATTAAAAGTAACTATTAAATCAACAAATCTGACTTTTAAAAAGTGTTTTAAAGGAAAAATCTAGCAGCTCTTTTTTTTTTTAAGAGACTCCTGAAGGAAAAGCTTGGGGAGCTCAATCAAATTGTGTTAGAAGAAAGGAAGATAAGTCTTGGTCCAGAGGTAAATGGAACGTCAGTGTAGCTTCACCACAGGCTTTTCCATCATGTTAGCTTTGATTGGCGCTTCAACCTGTAGCTGAGCAAGCACCTCCAGTCCCTTCCTGTGGGATGCTGGGATGCGTGCAATTGCAGATGCAGACAGCTACTTCAAAGTGAAGCAACTGGTGATGAACTCTGGACCAATGGGTTGTAAACAAATGCAGATTAGTGAATTCATGATGGCAGATAAGTTTTATATTCATGAGAAACAGTCACAATTTCTTTTAATTCGGAAGCAGTCTGGTTTCCATGTTAAGAAAAAAATTTAAATTGATATGCACATATAATAGACTATTCCTAACTAACTCTACCTTTTCTTCCGAAAATAATGTCTTCAAAACTAACATGTCATTTCTACTTTAAATTCTCAAGGTTTCTTTTTAAATGTCTTACATTTGAGAGTATATTTACTTTTTGTTTTTGTTTTTTTGTTTTCTGTTTTTTTATGTTGGTGTTGTGTTTCTGCATTTCTCGTTTTTCTACTGCAATTTTCCACCTTTTGTGCAATTGTGAACAAGGTAACGAAACGCCTCCCTTCCTCAGGAACATCTACTATCTTCATGCTTTCTCAAACCTCCAGCAATCACAGTTTCTCTTGGAGTGAATAAGGTGATTTTCTTTCTTAATGTACCAACTTGCTTGCATTCTCATTTGCTTGACACCATTTTCTGATTCTTTATGAAATATAACTTTTCCAGACTCATTTTTATTGTCTTCTATTGACACTTAGAGTATTTTGTCATTTTCCTTTATCCATTGGTTCACCCTGTGAAATTGGCACCCTGGAAAGGAAGTCATGTGCGAGAGCTTCTGCTGTGAGTCTGTGGTCTCCTCGATCTGTGGCGTGTAGTAATAGCCATGGCATGAGGCCGGTCCCTTCACCAGGACAGGAATGTTTTGCACAGATTGCTCTTGGTTCAGTATACTCGCAGCACCAGCACAGTCTCATAGGTGTTCACCAAGAGGATGGTAAGGTTTCCTGCGCAAACCATATTGACTCATCTGTACCACGTAACTTACCAGTGCCATTTCAAAACTCCCGAGTTTGCCACACACTTCTCACGTCTGTAGCCTTCCACCATGAAAACCGTTTGATTGGAGTCGGAGACTTTTGGAGGCCTTTGAATGTATTCATTTGAATGTTACACGTTTGCTGTGGCGTAATCAATCGATTGTAGTTTGCGCGAGAAGAGTAGCGCCTGCAGGAAATGCTTTTTTGCTGTGACCTTTTTTTTTAATCAGCAGGTAGGTTAACCAGTCTTCCCGTGCGTTAAGTGTCTTTACCTCACTGTTACAGAGAAATCTGAGCGGTAGAAGGGCATCTGACTCATTATCCACCAGACCTTCAGTCAGACCTCTTCTTTTACGAACCTTCTCAGACGAATCTAATATGTTGTAACAGGTACCTAGTGCTAAACAAGTGGGCTGGCTTTAAAGAAACAGATTAACAGCATTATAAAGAAAAAAATCAAAAAAAATTACTCTCTAAATTTTCTCTGCTGTTGGTGTGGTGAACTTTATACGATTCTTTGCAAAAATATAAAGATGCATTGCTTGGAATATGGGGTGGGGGGGATACATATTATCAATTTGCTCAGCCCCCAATGAAATTGTTGGTATTTGCTGAGCTGAATGGGGCAGAGCTCCAATATATTGAATGTTAAGGGGCCAGTTGTCACGTTGGGGCTATTGCGTGAAACAGATCTGGAGACACCTATTTGGATTTTGAAAGGATCTTTGGAAAACGGAAAATAAATATTCCAAAATTGCATCTGTATAATATCCAGTCAGTTTAGCATTGCATGTTTCTTTGGGGAATTAATGTGGCAATAATCCAATGTGTTTGTACCTCCGTGTGGTGTGTCTGTGTGTTCCCAGGTATACACTTAATGTCTTTTTAAATGTCCAAATTTTCAATATATAATAATAAACGAGTCTAATCATAACTTTTTTTTTCTTTAAATGTGTCAAGTTTTATTTAAGCTGAACGTTTCAACTTTTAGAGGTTAAAAACTTTCTTAGCCATTCAGGGGGATGCTAACCTAAATTATAAACATGACTTCGTTAGTTACTTTTTCCAATAACAAGTATATGCGTTTAATGCATATTATTGGATCTTAATGCCCAAAATTTTGCTCTGGCAGGAAGCTATGAATTCAGATCGTGTCCCAGACCTTTAGAATAACACAGGAATGTGCTTCAGTTGACAGGCAGTTTGGAAACAACTCCATCAGCTTAAGGCAAGGCCATCTTTCATACCCTCACCAAACTAGTTAGTGGCAGGTCTGTTCACATCGAAACCACCACCGGCACATCTGCCCACAGGCCCCATTGTCTTGTTTTGTCAAAACACACACACAGAGGAACGAATGACTTGACTCACTTGATTCCTCTGTCATCCCCCCGACACACACATACAAAACTGGAACAAAGTTGACTTAGTTGATATTTCTATAATTCAGGCAATTCTACCCTCGATTTGGGTGCAGGCTCACTTTAACTTGGCAGCACCTTGTCTTCCATGTGGAGGGACTCCTCTGTATCTTTTCCCAAGAGGGAGGACTCTGCTTCCCTGGAGCCTCCACAGGCTTTGACCTTCGAGTGTCAGATGGCCCTGCCTTCAGTTGTGAGGTGCTTTGGGGCTGTGCTGTATCTGCTTCCTTTGGTATCCCCCAGGATGGCTTGCTTTACTTTGGGGACGGGGCTGGGTTGCAGACACTGCTATTGCTTTTGGCCTCTCCAGGGTCTAACTCCTACAATTCGTAGCCTAGAATTGAGGGAGCCGGAGGAGGGGGGGCAGTTGGGTGGGGGTGGGTGGTTTTGTTTTAAAGAAAGCAGTTGTTTTGATTTTTGTTTTAATATAGTTATTTCATCCAGGAATAGATTTTTTTCTTTCTTTTTTTTTTTAACGTGGCATCATTTCTCTTCCAAGGAAAAGATCTGGCCATTAGTTTCACCTGTGTGTGTGTGGCTTGAGCAGCAACCTCATTCTGGTTAGGCACTGCGATCCTGCACTGGAGAGTTAACAGGGGTTCTTGGACTGGTAAAAGGAGTCCATGATATTACAGCCTCGCAGTTGAAAGGTATCCTCAAGGGCTTGCAGTCTAACCATGAGGAGGAAATGAACCAGAATGGGAAGGACCCCTCAGCGCTGCACCACTCATGGTCAAAGATCTCGGGCTGTAGTGTAGAGAATCCAACTCAGGCTCCCTCCCTTGACATGGGATTATGGAAGTGATCCAGTTCTTGAGGTACTAGCTTTACATGCCAATGACTTGCCCTGTCTCATCCCATCCCCACCACAACATTTGACAGTGCTTAAAAGATGGAGAATCTACAGATTCACTGTGCAAAAGTCCATGGCTACTAACTGATGGGTGGGTCAAATCCACTCAGCGGTGCCTGATAAGAAAGGCGTGGTGATCTACTTCGAAAAGATCATTGCCACTGAAAGCCTTCTGGAGCAGAATTCTACTCTGTAATACCATGGGGTCTCCATGAGCCCACAATCAAGGCAGAGGCAACAAACACGTTATTATTTGGAGGGAGGGAGGCATGGCTTCTTTCAGTAAAGGCAAAATGTTTTCACAATGATCTTTACAAGTTGACCCCCACTCCACTCCCACGACCACCCCATTCATTTGTGTAACATTTCCTGTGCATCCTGTGCCTTTGGGCCAGGCACTCCTAGGAGCTGGAAAACAGGGACCCTGTTTTCAGAGCCTCCCCACTTAGAGAAAAGGGTCCTAGTGAAAGTGATGAGTACCCTGGAGCAGCCCAGAAGCAAAGAGCAAGTTTGAGTCCAGTCCCCCGATAAATCCAGAACGAAGATCTGGTTACTGTGTCACTTTCCTTTCTCCCATGCATGTGAATAAAACTTGACACTTTAATGTTGAGACAATTGCTTTACTCATAACAAAATTTACTACTTGATTTATTTTGGGAAATGCTAAACAGATGGTTTCACGTTGTGCTTGAGATAAACGTTTTAACTGTGTATCTTTTACAATTTGCAGAATCCGAATCTGGAGCTGCCTATGTTATTGTCCTACAAGCATATTGACAGTGGTTACAGCTAAAACAGGAAAGCATGAAGAAGCGACCACAAAAAGTTACCATCTCAGGATACTGATATGCAACACACTAAACCACTCTTGCGAGTGTAGGGTTTCTGAAGACTCAATCGAAATACCAAATGACGCTCTCAAACATTTACAGTTATTGTAAGCAATTGTTATGGCCAAAGCTCTAAGTTCAGAACTCTGTGGAAGTTGAAAGCCAGCAGTCTTCGATTCTGGCTATAGATAGAATAATATAACCACCAAATGGGTGCTCTTTTAACCCATGAACTTCGTGAATGGATTTAAACACAATAGTCTAATGTAGAAGTCATGCAATGGGAATGAATAGATTTTGCTAATACTACTTTTTTTTTTCCTTGCCTGGAAAAGAAATAGGCCATTTGGATCACACTTCTTTTTCCTGCTGAATGATAGTCTGGGTTTTTTTTGTTTGTTTTGTTTTGTTTTGTCAAATTTATGAAAGGAATACTTGAAAATACAAGAGGACTGAGTGGAGTCAATGTATCCAATGGAATAATTACTCCTTTCTGTTCACCTTCGTGCACATTGTCTCCTGGTGGAATATCCTGGCCAAAAAGATATCTTGACACCTACCTGGAAATAATGTTACCCCCACCCCCCAGGAATTTGTCAGGGAACAGGGGAAAAAGATTATCTAGTTTTTGTTCTTGTGCATTAAACCCCACTTGTGGGTTTGAGGCTGGCAAATTTGATGCATAAAACATTTCTGATTACTTAATTGCCCTCAAAATAGGAGAGGTATCATTCTTACCTTCTTAACCGTTTTTGCCATGCTCTGAGGTCAGGTGGAGAAAACCACAGTTAAAACACAAAAATAGAAACCATGATGTACCCACGTCCCTTATAATTCTATGGTGAGAGGACAGGAAGGGTAGCCTCTTTTAAACCACTGCAGTATCCATTTGAAAGAGGCTGCCATTGTGGACCCATGCAGTACTATGGATTTTTAACTTCCCCAGTCGGGAAAAGGGGATCCAACCTAAGAGGACCTATAGCCCAGCCTCTGGAGTCTAAACCTGGAGCTTCACCTTGCTGAAGTCCGTGTGTGGGCTCTTTTAAAAGGTTTGCGCCTCCCAGTGCATCTGTGTCAAACAGTAAATGTGAAATGTCTTTCTTCGCTGTTAAAACGAAACTCATGCTTTTGGGGGGGTCTAACTGACTACAGTTGACTGCTGCGTTGAACTGGTCAAATTATTTAAAAAAATAATTTTCATATCACTTCTCAATTTTGTTTGCCTTTCTGGCATGCATGGTGGTGTTATTCGTGTTTATATTGTACCTTGGTTTGGAGAAGTATTCGATTCAAGCTGTACCAATATATATGTATGGTCCATAGGACACATTTGATTCTTACCAATACATTTGTGTTCATGTTTGGGTGCAATTTCTCTGAAAACTTCTAGAAACAATTTCCATTGGAAACCATTCCAGCTATTCCTGACCCTTTTACTGCATTTCTCATCTGTCAGTATTGTTTTTGAGTGTTTTGGTAGGTGTCATTCTCAGCTTACCTAGGCGTGCTCTATTCTGGTAGCCTGTATTTGAGGTACTCTGCTAAAGGCAATGTCTTTATAGTCCTGGTCTAGTCCAAAGAGCTAAAAAAAATCAGACCCAGGAAAGCTTTTGATGTTTGTTATTGTTTTGTTTTAATTGCTGTTGTGTGTTGTTTTATGTGAGAACTTTTATAAGGGACTGTGAATACAAGTGAGAGAGATGATGGAGAGGCTGGATTTCTCAGAGCCATTGGACATTGATATAACACCCAGGGTAGCGGAAATAGATGGAAGATTGCAAGACTACCCAGGGTGGTGGAAATCTATTGGCTGTGTGTAAATTGCCTTATAGCCAGGAAGACAGTGACATGCGGCCTAAGGACAATTAAGAGTCATGTTTCAGGGACACGGTGCCTTGTAGCTCAGACTCAGCATGGCAATGATGTGTAATGCCATGGCCTCAGTCCTGGAGAGGAACCTGACTTTTTTTGCAGAAAGATATTTTATTAATGAACGAAAAATGGCTGGCATGAGTTTAACAGGTGGGATAACTTGAAGCCTTCCAGTGTTCCCAGCACTGTAATCTCGCCATCCTATTTGGGGGGCGGAGGGCGGGGGTTGACAGAGAAAGGGAGAAAATGTACTAACAGGATCATACACCCATCACTTGAATAATTTTGAAGTCTGATGTCCTTGAGATTTTCATAACCGTTGTCCACTGTTTAAGGATGCTGCCTAATAAACTGAAAACATTAATTCATAACTATCACTATACACCAGCAACAATATAAACATAAGCCTAAATTTGCCAAGTTCATAATAATTTAGTGATGGAAATTTTTAATAACATGCTGTGTATAAATGTGCAAATTTTATGCAAGTATTGACAAAATCATTTTTCAGCTTGCAAAATGGGACTGCGATATTACATTTTTTCACTTATGCAATTTTTTACATCCACGTCGTTGCTTTCTATAATGAATGTGAATGCCATCTTTTATGAATGCAACTTGCCTTTTTTCATTACAGAACTTTTTGTTTGATGTAATCAATAAACTTTGGTATGGTATGATTGATATTTTAGCCTCTTTTCTTTTTTGGAAAGGTTTAACATTAAAACGGTTACGCAAGTGATTTGGTATTGGGAAATACGTTTCTGCTTTACCCTTTGCCTGCACAACTCTCAAAAGATGAATCATTTTTCCCCGGCACTGACATTTTAGGCCCCATGTAAGAAAGACCTGTTGGTCAACTTCCAACACAATCCTTTTGAAACGGCCTTTTAAACGTACTCTGGAGCACAGTACTACCCTACCACGCATGGAGTCTCCATGAGATTGAATCGGCTTGATTGCAACTGGTTAAAATGGGAGTTGTGAATGGGGTTGCGTTCGTTACCGTCAAAAGTCCAGTCATATCAGCAAATGCATATTGAAGGTCTGTGTGCTTGGCAGTATGCTTGGTGCTGCTGCCCAGGCGGCGGCAGCAGTGTAATGCAGGCTGTCTCTTAATTCCGTGAAAATGTTCGATTCCAAAGTAGCCAAACCCAGTTAGGTGATGTTGGAAGCTGTGCATCTCAAAGGGAATCCTATGACCAATTGGGCAATTTGAGAGCCCAGTCGGGAAGTACAGTCAACATAGACTTGATGATGATGTGACTTTAACACTGATTGGCAGCAGTGCTTCAAGGGGAAGAGAGTTGTGGATTTTACAGAAGCTTGAGACTTGGTCCAAGTAATATGAGCGCTTCAGTCTGCCAAGCCCCCCCTTTGCTCAGGCTGCAACCAGGGCCCTTTGGACAAATCCTGTTCCTGGACCTCCAAGCAACCCAAGCTGTTCATGGCCTCAAATGAGTGCACTTTTTAAATAGGAAATGCCCTCTATTTGGAAGTTAAGGTTCTGCCTTCACCACTTGAAGCTCATATCCTCTAAATCCACTTTCTTCTCTCTAAAACTGTGTCTTTGTAGGGCTGCGGTCCGATGAGGTCAGAGAGAAACATTGCTTTGCAAAGTGTCACTTGCTATTCTGATACTAAACATGCTTTTATATTTGAGTGGTGGGTTTGGTTTTGTTCTTCCTAAACTGGGTTTTCCCCCTAATAAATGTTGCCATTTACCAAATGTGCCCAGATGTGTGTTAGATGTTGTCGTCTTGGAAATGAATTTATTCAAGCTTCCTTCCTTTGCTCAGTCTGGCCTCGCGGGGTCGACATCCTTTGCTTCACTGTTGACCCCACCCTGGTTAGCAATAAAGTGGTGCTTGGCAGGGTCTGAGTGGTTTGGCCCCTTTAAAAGCAGCCCAGGGAGCCTAGGGGCTGAGGTCATCCTTATGGGAAGTGCCGTCATTATATTCAGTGAAGCTCTCCGGAATGAAGTGCTGGACACATACTAAGGACGTCTGAAGGTCAAAGTTCTGGAGGTAATTGCCAGCAAAAACAGCACTGAATTCTTTCATAGCTTTTCTTCTCTCCCCTGCCTGCGCAACATTTTCCCATCGTCTGATGGGCATGGCAATGTTAAGTTCAAATCTGAGTGCACGGAGAAACGTTGCTGTTTGGCTCAAGCAAGTCTTCGTCGCTGTAAAGGATGGTGCATTCATGGAGAGCCAATTTTCATGCTGTCTATAAATCCATCCTGCACGTGGGGTGGGGCAACAGATGGCCATGGCTCACCTGCATTTATCATTTGTAGCTAAATGGAGCCCTGGTGCTGTAGCAGGTGATGCACAGGGCTGCTAATTGCAAGGTCCACAGTTCGAAATCACCAGCCACTCCTAGGGAGAAAGATGAGCCTTTCTGAGCCTGTAAAGTTATCTGCCCTATAGGGTTGCTATGAGTTGAAATCGACTTGATGGCAGCGAGTTTAGTTTGGAGTTAAATGCCACTTGGATCTCATTTAACATGAAGATCACATACTTCTTGCCAAGTACATGTGTTCTGTCAGTGCTGCCACTAAAAACAAATTTTAACTAGCACATATGTGCGTGATTATAAGTGCCTGTGTGTATGTTGTACACGATCCAGCATCTTTCATATATGTACTCCTTAAATCGCCCCAGAGCAAGCCCTCATGGTGTAGTGGGTTACTTGTTGGACTGATAAGCACACGGTCAACAGTTCAATACCACCAGCTACTCCATGGGAGAAAGATGAGGCTTTATACTCCCCAAAAGAGTTCAAGTCTGGGAAATGCACAGGGGCAGTTCTACTCTGTCCTGTAGAGTCACTACGAGAGTTGACTCAATGGCTGTGAATTTGTGGGTTTTTTAGTTTTATCCTCCCAACAACCTGTGAATAGGCACTGATAATATGCCATTTGAAAAATGAAACTGAGTCACATTAAAGCTCCAAATGAGAATCTGATTGAGCCAGGTTTTGAACCCCGGTATAAATACCGTAACTTCTGTCCATGCATTTGACTGGAACACTATAATTCTATTGTTATATACCACCTCTGCATGAATAAACAAATAATATTAATGCATAATATCACTATCAGCCGTGAGAAAAAACCAGATAACCCCACATTGAGAGAGATTCTATAGTGACTGACGCAATATCAAAAAAAAATTTTTTTTGAGAAGCAAAGATAGGAGCTATCGGAGATTAAAGATTACATTAGGACTAACTGGGATACTTGGTAAAATTTGAATACAACATAGATAAAATTGTAGTATGTCAGTGTTAATTTCCCAATTTCTGAAGTTGTGATATGTATGATGTTATATTTTGGAGGGTCTGATTGAAGGGCATATGAGAATGTTTTGTACTATTTCTGTAACCGTCAGATTTATTTCAAAGAAGTTAAACCTAATGAAGCATCGTAATATTAATGGATTGTTGGGAGAGGTCATTAAGTGAGCCGAATACAGATGACTAAACTACAATTTATTAGCTAACATTTGCTGAGTCCTTTATGAAATACATTTATAGACTATTTCACTTCGTTCCCACAGCACCCCAGTGTAAAGTTGATGGACTCCAGATCTCAACAGATAAATGGAGACTCAGTCAAATGATTTTGCCCCAATCCCTCTAACCAGTGACTGTAGACCCAGGACTGACGGGCAGCTTTCCCCATACTCCACACCGCAGTTTGACTAAGGGTCTGAGAGGATCCCCTGATGAATTCTGGGATGCTGAGAAACCACGCCCTTGCAAGTATATCTTTTGTATGCGCAGCCCTTGGTGGTGCAGTCTACGCTGCCCCATAGCAGATTGTAAGCAGAACCCACCGTGGTAACACCATGAGAATGGAGGTGGGTGGTCTCAGAATTCGTTTGCATCCCTTTCCTCTAGTGATATAGTGTGAGATAGAACTGCAAGTAAGTGTGCCTGTTACCCAAGATGAAGTCTAAGGAGCCCTGGTGGGTTAGGCATTGAGTTGCTAATCACATGTTGGTTTAACCTGCTTCTCTCTCCAGCAGTTGACTAGGGAATACAAGCAAGCCCCTTTCATTTTAATGAGGCTTTGTCAGCTGCCTGCCATAGGTATCAAATCTGTGTGGACCTGGCCAAAAAGGAATCTCCGCAGAGCTTTCCACAAGTCAGGCTGGGATGATAGTCATTCAGCAGTCCCCAAACTGGGTTGGGTGAAACCTTCCTGGTTTGGGAAATGTAATTGGCCGTTCCTTGAGAAAGGAAGTTCCCTAAAAATACCCATTGCCATCAAGTCGGTTTTTACTTAGAGTTACTGTACGGAAGACCAAAGAACTGGTGCCTTTGAGTTACGGTGTTGCTGAAGAATCTTGAATATACTATGGACTGTGGGAAGAATGAACGAATCCGTCTTGGGATGATCCTTAGCAGCAAGGCTATCAAGACTCTGTCTCAAGTACTTTGCTCACGTTCTCCGTAGGGGCCCCTTTCTGTGCTAAGACAACCCTATAGGACAGGGTAGAATTGCCCCTGTGGGTTGTGAGACTTTATGGGAGTAGAAAAGTGCGTCTGTCTTCTGAGGAGTGGGGGGTGGGGGGTTGAATTGCTGACCTTTCAGGTAGCAGCCCAATGAGTAACCCAGTACTTACTTTCACCACAGACCACCCAATGATTTATTGGACACTTGTTTTCTGTAGAGCACTTTTTGGTGAAATAGGGCAATGGCAAGAGGCTAGAGTAGGGGTTGGCAAACTTTTGAGATGTCCCTCACAGAAAGTTAATTATTCCAGAGCCTGCATATATTTTTACAAGCAAATGAACCCAGCAGTACCTGAATAATATCCTTTAAAATTTTACTTCAGAGCCACTTGTACCTACATAAAGAGATGTATAGGGCTTGAGAGTTTGCTGCCCCATGGTCTAGACAACCCGTCTTAGGGTCTGTTCTGAAGTAGGTGGTATTCATTTTCATTAGCTGAGAAAGGTGTAAGTAAAGATAGTTCTTAAGCCAAAAGCATCAAAGTTCAAACTAGAGAAAGAGATCACTCCTTGTTTTTAAAACCGGGAACTTAAAAAAACAATTTTTTTAACGAGAACTTAAGATGGAGCCATGACCATGACAAGGTGATGGGAGAGCTGAAAGGTCAACTGGGACCTGTAGAGGAAGCAGCTCACCGATTAGAAAAAGCAGGAAGCCCTGGGCTTGGGGAACAATAAAAAGTGAAGATCCTGTTCACCTGGCAGAAGGGAACCACAACCGGCCTGTCTGGAGCAGCTAGGACCACCGAAGAGTTTCAACCTAAGTTTCAACCTGGCTTGTCTCCAAGCTGGTAGCCAGTGCCTTCCATTAGGTAGCGTTAGGTCTCTCGTGTGAGAAATATAACTCAGGCTCTTGACTTCGTGATCCAAGTGAGTTTTATGACAGGTAAAAGAAGTTTCAGGTTTACACAGGCACTTCAGGGCACTTCACACCCAGACGTGGAGCCCTGAGGGCTGCACGGCCTCCAAGGAGCAGCTTGAGAAGTAGAAGGGGCCACAGGGCTCTAGATTCTAGCTTTTCAGGGCCTCTGCTGGGACACGTGAGTGATGATCCTGGCCAACCGCATTGGCTGAGTTGAATTCACCTGGCTCAGATGGGCCAATCCAGGTGTAATGCCCACCTAGGTGTACCACCCCTTCCTAGCCGGAAGCTTGAACCC